AAGTCGGCCCCAAAGATTGTTCGGCGCAATTCAGGTACAACCAGGAATGGGAACGTCACGCAATCCTCTCCAATTCTAACCCTGCAGTCTGAAACTCCCGCGATTCTTAACACGTGACCGCCTACTGTCTGCACTGTCAACGAACACGGTCTTATACTCTCACATAGACTCCTATCTACGAGTGAGTCTGCAGCCCCTGTGTCGATTAAACACACCAACTCGCGATCATTTACCCGTAACTTCGAATATATTGCCCCCTTCCCCATCGCCCCTATTACCTCAAGTCTCGGAACACAGGAAGAAGACACAGTATATCTTTTAAAAATTCTTCTTCGTCGTCTTTCCGGGCAGCGGTCTCTCCAGTGCCCCAGTTTGCCACATGCGAAACACCGGTCTCTCCGCACGCTCAGTTTCAGCGCGGCCACTTCACGTTGCAACTCTTCGATTTATTTCTCACACTGCTCGGATTTTGGTGTCTCTACCGCTGCAACCGTCTTACTCAACAGTTGTCTGGTCACCTTCGCAGGCTCCCCGATGTCCAGTGGCTGTACGGCGTTAACCAGATATAGCTGTTGGGATATATGTTCTGGGACACTCTCCACAAACTGGGATGCCAACATTTGTGCCTCAGAATCTTCGTCCAGTGTTGGTAGAGCGCGACGAAGTAGGCTTGTCAAGGTCAGCGCCAATACGAGAGGGTCACCGTCAACTCCCAGCTTCATGGTGCGAAACTGCTGCATTGCCCGCTCTCTGTCCATCGGGCTGTCAAACTCCTGCTTCAAGCGTTCCACCACTGACTTCCAAGTTGTTTGCCCCTCTGTTTGCCTCACACTATCGTATGCTGCCTTCGTCTGGCCTCTCAGTAGCGTTCCAAGAACAACCGTCTTCGCTGATGGCTCTTGCACACCGTTCAACTCTGCAATAGCTTCGAAGTCCCTTAAGAAGATCCATATGTCTCCTTCTTCAAAAGCTGCAGGCCATGGGACTTTCATTTCGCGACAGGCAGCGACACCAAATGTAACGGCAGAAGGCAAGAGTCAGGCAACAGATCGTTTATTAAGGAAATCAACGCATATTTATATATTTTCATGTACATTAATATGGATATTTAAGCAAACAAACACAGTTTTCAGATTGGTTGTTTCTCACGTAAAGTTAATCTTTCATCTATTTGTGACTGTTTCTTGAATGTCAAATCTTCTATATGTTAACTGCATCCGCCTACGCAAGGTCAATCTTTGTTCACATTTTCTCACGACAAATCTTGGGAGCGTAAATATTGACGTAAATTACTGTCTACCAATTTGGCTAGTAGACAGCCCTCACCACATAGGTATATCCATGAGATTCTAGACAGGGTCCAGCCAAATCTATATGAACCTGTTCGAAACGAGCGTCAGGGATAAGAAAGGTGCCAAGAGCACTTCTGGCGTGTCTTGCTACCTTGAACTTTTGGCAAGCCAAGCACGTGTGTGCCCATTCACTTACTTCCTTGTTAATACCAGGCCAACAAAACCGACTAGTTATGAGTTTGACGGTTGTTCGGATACCTGTGTGCGATAAGCCATGCAACGTATTGAAGACGTTACGGCGATAGCTTTTTGAAGAGGACCCAGTTTCACATGGTCTATGCCGTCTATTTGGGTGAGGGAACAAATGCGGGACAAGGTATCTGCCACAGTGTTGTTCACTCCGGATACATGGCGAATATCCAATGTAAACTGCGAAACGCAGTCCAGTTGTCGTGATTCTCTAGTTGAATGCCTATCTGAAGTTGAGTTCAGAAAGTAAGTCAGAGGTTTGTGGTCAGTGAAAACCATAAACTCACTACCCTCCGCTGAATGTCAAAAATGACGTATAGCACAGTACATTGCCGAATGTGCTGTACTTAGTTCCTGCTAATTGTAGATGCCTCGAGAAAAAGGCGAGCGGTTGCCACTCTCTGTTGATTAGTTGTTGCAGAACTGCGCCGATCGCAGTGTCTGATGCATCAACCGAGATACTTAACGGTACCGCTGGATCCTGATACATTAGGAGTGTGGCATCCGCAAAAGCTCTCTTAACATGAATAAAAGCATTTCTAACAAACGTGTCAAGTTCGATGGACTTGTTATTCCGTAGAAGAAGGCCTGTTAATGGCTGAACCAGAGAAGCACGGTTGGGAATAGACCGTTGGTAATAACTTACCAAGCCTTTGAAAGTGCGCAGACTTTTCACTGTCTGTGGCTTTGGAAAGTTTAGTATCGCCAATGAGCGAATACCCTTGCAGTCAATGGTGTGGCCCAGAAAGTCGAGTGAGTCAACGCCTATTTGACACTTGTGAATATTAATGGCAACACCATTTAGGCGTAACCTTTCAAATGCCAAGTCCAAGTGTCTAAGGTGAGTTTCCTTATCTGGACTGGCAATGAGGCAGTCGTCTAAGTATGCGTATACAAAGTCGAGACCGCGAAATACTTCGTCGATGAAGCGTTGGAATGTTTGTGCTGCATTCCGGAGACCGAATGGCATACGTAGAAATTCAAAAAGTCCGAAAGGCGTAATGATAGCTGTTTTCGGAATATCTTCTGGTGCCATCGGGATTCGATTATACGCTTTAACCAAATCGATTTTAGAGAATATAGATGCGCCAGAAAGTGTTGCTGTCAAGTCATGTATGCGAGGCAATGGGTAGCAATCAGGGGTTGTTGGCGTTCACTCACCGGTAATCACCAGTGGGTCGCCAATCGTTGCTATCCTTTTTCGGTTCCATATGCAGTGGGCTATTCGATGGTCGAATGATGCCAAGGTTGAGCACATGATCGAACTCATTTCTAGCTAGCTATAGTTTGTCAGGAGCAAGTCGCCGTGCTTTAGATGTCACGGGTTGTCCTGATGTTATGATGTGATGCATGACATTGCTGGTTATGCACGGGAGATCGTTAGACGGACAATTAAGCTCCGAGTATTTATCAACAATCGGTTGAAAAGTTGAATCAAGGATTGCTTTCATCTTAACGAGTGACAAGTTGGGGCCTACGTAGGTGATTCCTTTGATAGACAGCCTAGTAGTACTGCCTGTCATTCGTTTTCGGAGGACGACTACGAGTAAATCATGATGGTTAAGTAGGTCTGTGTCGATGATGGACATTGTGACGTCAGCGAGAAGGAAAATCTACTGAATGGGTTTGCGTAAGCCTAAATTCAGACAGACGCATTTCCTACCAAAGGTTGCAACTGGTTTTCCATTTGCAGCCGGTAAGTTGAATGTAGGTTCCTTCTGTCGATCTGCCACTGTAGTAGGAAGGACGCTGACCTCGGTGCCTGTGTTGACCAAGTATCTGGTCTGGCTGACCACATCACGGATGTAAAGTAGGCAGCTAGTGCCACGGGCGGCGGTTGCTTCTAACGCGTGCCCGCAGGATAGTTTCCCGCAGTCTTTGAGACACTGCCGAAATTACAAGGTTTTCGGCAACATTTCGCTTCCTGGCCATAGGTTTTGTGATGCCAGCACCAGTCAGGGTATTTTAGTGCACGTGGCTTGGATTTAGATCGACCCCGTGAGTTTCATTGTTGAGGGAAGTTCGAACGACGGTAGGAGGAATTACAAGGTATGTTTGACCTAAGCAGTTGCTGGATGGAGTTGTATGACTCTATCGCTGCTGTACCCCTACTCGGAGTCTGTTTGGCAACTGAGCATATTTCGGTAACTGGCCGTTTAGTTATTTCTAGAATTCTATCCACAGAAACAGCTAAGTCACCTATAATAACACCCTGAATTGTGACAAGTACAGCTTGTACTGACTGGCAGTTTGGATAAGAAAAGTTCTCTGAAAAGTCCTTCATCAAACTGACATTGGCCAATAACTTCCCTCATTCTTACAAGCATGCTCATGGCTGACTGGTCACCTAACTCGACGTTACGAAATAATTCGTCCAGACGCTGTCGATCCGTGAGAACCTTTCTCCTTAGAAGGGTTAGTTACCTCTGGGCTCGACATCTGCACAGTTACGCACTTGCTGAATTCCCGCGGTAGGGCACGAACAACTGCAAGGAACTGTTAAAGTTGATCGGTTATCCCATGCTCACTAAAATCAGGCTCAGCTCTCTGAAACCACGATTCAGCATTATCTAGTCGAAATGGTACGAGCCAAATGGTTTTGGAAGCTGAGGGAATACGAATGACCTTATGACTATGACCACTCATGACAAAATATATATAGTTTGAAAATAGTGCAAGAAAAACACAAAATGGAACGAACTCACCGGATTTGTCTGTATATTTACCAACGATGAAGTTCGCGGTTGGGCTCACCAATTTAGAGGCTGACGGTGTTGACGTTCACGGATAGTACGAAGTATGCTAACGCAAGATCTAATACCCACAACTTCTATAGTATTCGTTACGCATAGACCAAAGGCAAAGCAAACACAACAGCTGGTCGTCCAAATTACGAGATATATTTCGAGACCAAATCGGAGTGCGAGATGACCGCTTAGCTGGCTAGGGATCGTACACGAACGAACGAAAGTGACACGACGGAGTACCAAATGGCGTGGATGCTTGACCGGGAGCTTTCAGCTAAACAAGTTGACTTAAACAGTGAGGGTCAGCATCCAGTGTTTAGTGATGAGTACTGTGGTCAATAAATTTGGAGAATTATTTACCGCTATAGAATGAACAGTTATGATAATCTCACAAGGAATAAGTTGATTCATCACATGTCGATTTATTAAAAGGTTGACTTTCAATACGGCTGGGCCCGGAAGAATTTCCGTAGCATTACGTACGTGTCATTCACATTGTGGAAAATCGAACCATTAAAACGAATTTTGAGAAGAACAAAGTGTCGTTACAAACTGTGAGTGTAATCTGACAAGGAACTGACACAGAAAAGAGGAAGATACGTATAAGCCGACTAATTCATGATTAGTATAAGATTTTAGGTTAAGAACAAATTTCACTATTCGCCAAAGAGTGAAATTGTGTGATTGTTTTAGTTTATTTACTGGCACGTCTCGCTTTTCAAATAGTTGCCATTGTCCCACAAGATGGCACGATAAGCCTGAGAGTGGTGTTGCTATATGTGGTTCTTACTTATTAATTCTGGTAACTGTACATAGTAAGTTAGGCACTTTTGCGTTTGTATTTAAATCTTTCCGTCTTGGCCCCCAATGTTTTCTTGACACGTGTAACGGTAATGGAGGAAAAACTTCTGACTCAGGCGAACTTTTTCAAAGCTTCAAGACTTTCCAGAATTATGTAGGGGAGCGAAAAATCAAAGATAAGATGGATACCCGGTCAATATCGTCAGTAGCTGACATGAATACTGTGCAATCAATTTTGGTCACTGTCACTGGAGGGATCTGAAGTGATAAAATTACAAGACATATTGAAGTGCATTGGTTAATTATAGGGTGTTTTTTCGTAAACATATAATAATACAGCTAATATATGGTATGGAAATGAGATTTTCATCAACAACAGCCAAGTTTTGATGATGCGACCACTTATACATACTGTAGTAGAATGTAGCTGAGGAAAGTTATATTCACTAGTCTCTCCAATTCCTTTTAGTTTACATCAAGTCTGAAGGCTACGATGTAAGAACACAAGCCTTCCTACTTCTCGAGAGATACTCAGTTAAATATACGTTGTGAAGGTCTTCATAATATCAGTTCACCATATACTCAGTATTAAAATGTATGTGGACGGAAAAGATAGTGATCGACTGAGTGAAGGTTGTCTAATCATTTCACAAGTAGTTGTGCATTAGTAATTGACTTCGCGAGTCTCCGAAATCTGTCACTGTGAAAGCAGGTTGACGTCAAGTTTAGAGTTTTTGAAAGACAAGCTAATTCCTGTTTAAAACTCAGGTGTGTTGCTTCGGATTTGAAATAAAGTGGAAGACAAACTAACATTATTTCACCAAAAAGGGGATTCCTCGTTTCGTGTAATTATCACTGAACTCAGCCACTACTTTTATCGTCAATTTAGTCGTCGATCAGGGAATAATCGTATTTCAAACATCCATATTTGTATGCATCTGCGAGAGTTTACGTAATGTTTTGTTTTCCTGATTAATCACAATTTCATGCCTGGTGTCGACCAGGAAATCACTATACAGACCACGTAGGAATTTAAAGTCTTTATATTAAGCAAACAAGACTGCCTTGGAATTCCGCTTGATGAAATATTATCATTTTCACGTAACCACTGCATACCATACCATACCATGCATTTCATTCATTCATTATACTTTTTTTTCCAGTTGTGAAAATTGTTGGCGTTTCGCAAAACATACGCGCACAAACAGTATAGTGAATCCATACATGCACACATAAATTCAGTTCACAGAGTTATATAAGTGCCAGTAGAAAGTCTGTCTGTGATATGTCTAGTCGACCACGCCAAAGACGCACACGTTTCACCAGTGGAAGTACTGTAGACGAAGCATCTTGTCGTCCGAAGAAGGTGCATATGAGCCCAGTGCATCAGTGTAAATCTCAATGTAATGAGCAGCATACTTCTTTACCGTCTTCACCGAATTCTCCTTATTTGGATTCAGCAAATATGCTGTTCCATAATTCTGACATTGGTCTGAGTAATTATGTTAACCAGAAAGATATTCCTGTTGATCGTCCTGATGCAGCTGAAGATGAGAATTCATTTGCATCAAGCATGTTCTCCGAAAAGCTTGTCCAACCGGAATTAAATTTGGCCGTTGAACCTACATCCACAACTGATCATGAATCGTTAAATCACGAAAATTCATCTGTTGGGAATAGATTGTTGAATTCTCATTCAAGCACAATGCGAGATTCAGATTCCCATGTTAATATGGACGGGATCTTAATGCAAAGTGAGAGGATGGTCTTAACTCCAAGCGCGGTTGCAACAGATGAGGCTGGCAGCTCTGAGGGAGAGTATGAAAATGAGGGTCAAGACTCAAATATACATCAGGCAAATTCTTCACTTCATCATAGTCCTTGTAGAAATAGAACAGGTAAATCTAGCATGGTTGGTACTTCATGCAGTCAGCCATTGGAACTTGTTGAGTCTGAATCACAGGAAAGTACGTATTCTAATTCAGCCAAAGCTTCTGTTTTGGATTCCATATCACCTAAATTAACTGAATGCAATTCTGAAAGGTCCGGGAATTTGTCAACACGAAGCTCTAATACAAACAAACCAAATGAATTTCTAGAATCGTCAACATCAAATTGCTTTGTTGCACTGGTTAAGTGCAGTTCTCCACTTGAAATTCTTTCTAACCAAACGTTGCCTGGAACTGCTGACTGTCATCAAAGTGCATCTTGCTTTCGAAAATCGTCAGCTTTCACTAATGCAAATAATTACCGTGATTTTTCTAGCAATGATGATATGATGTTAGCAACCTGTCATTCTTGTTGCTCTCACAGATGCACCAATCGAAACTGTGATGAGGATGAGGTGAAACCGGTTCCTTGTAGTTCAACAGATCAACTTTCACAACATGATTTTCATCCAGCTATAAAATTGGCCGATTTCTCTCGGGAATCTCAACATAACGATGTTGTTATAAAGTCCGAACCACCTTCAGTATTCAGTGCAGCTGGTGACAGTAGCAACAACTTTCTGTCGAATCAACATCAAGTGGTTAAAAAATGTGAAGAAGTGTTCTCAGAAAATGTTCCTTCCTTTTCCCCTGGTAAGATATGATTCATTTGGTGCATTTTAAAACATTTCACGAGGCTCCATTTACTTTGTTCAGTTCACCTCTTCACATAGTATACCTAGACACTTCCCGTGTCAGATTGTTTTAGTGGATGATCGGATGATATTTTTTGCTTGATGACATTCTAAGCATAATTTGTCTTTTTATTGTATAAGAATGATCACAAATTTTGACTGTTGCTTGCATGACAAGAGTAAACAATAGACACCAAAGTTAAATGACCTTAATTTGATCAATCAGATAGCTCAGCATGACAAATGGTTCCCAGTCATAATCCTCTTTGAAAGTGTCGCCTAAATTTGGTTTTTGACTTCTCTGTAGATAATATGTTGATAGGGAGGAATAAAACATGCATATATGGAGGGATAATATCTCTGGAAAAGTATTGCCGGGCTATTGATGGTTATACATCCAGATGCAACCACTCCTATATGAGGAAATCTGTGTAATTTGGTAAGTCGTACATAACTGGTGATTTTTTAGACACTTTCTCCTCGAAATCAAAGCTCTACCTTAGTAATATATTGCGTATAAGCAACCAGTATCTGCTACAGCTGGAGAAATAGAGAATACATTGGTTTGATATGTCTATAACCACTTCTATGAGAATCTGGGACCAGCTTTTGCAGCATATTCAGGATATATACCCTATATGATTCATTTTTATTGCATATATCATAGATACGCTTCTTTGTAAATTCAGTACCACTTTTCACCTAGAAGAATCTGATTGGCTGTTTCAAGGTCGTATGAAGTTGGTGTCTATTCTTTACTGCTGCCCAGTCACTTTTAATACATGTGTATGTTGATCTGGCGAAGATTTAGCTTCCAGTCTTTCCATCCAACTATACTTGATTCTAGAGTCAACCGGTCCTACTTCATAATATGACTGCGAGCAGGTGCTTATGCTGCAACGGTCAAGCTTCGCAGTCCTTGCTGTGTCTTTTGTCTATTATTTTACTTTTTATTCTCAAGTGAGTATTATTTCTGTTCACAGAAATATTTAGTGAGTTTTTAGTACAGCTTATCAATAGCTTTAAAACATACCAGCCCATTTTAAGTCATGTAACTGACCAAATGACCGAACTTTCAGCGTTGAACTTTGCAAAGAAATGCAGCAGTGCAAGTTGTCACATACCATACATCACACAGGTAGAGAAGGAAATTTAAAAGAACTTAAATGAAAGGAAATGTATTTTTTTATATTTTTTTGATTTTGATTACAGCTTGATGCCACACCGTATTTTCAGTACAAGTATGGAATTTTCAGCATGGATATCGGTAGTCCAAATATACAGGCCGACCATAGATATCGGGTGTGCACCGGCAGGGGATTGAACCCCGGGCCATGTGCATGGCCGGCGAGAGTCCCAACCACTGTGCCACCGACGCACGCGAGATGTGGAGAGTAATGAGGATTTGTTAGATCTGTAGGTTGAGAAAGAGTCGATCCATATCGATGTCATTGAGAAAAATTTTGAGCCGTATCATCAAAAGTCTCCAGCCATTGATTCTGAGCTTCTTGAGTACCCCAGCCATCCATAGTGTCTACAACCCCCCCCCCCAACGTGACTGGCTAAAACTAGCAGTTAGAAGATTTATGGATTCATGCCATGTTTAAATTCTTTTGCAACTCAATCTTATATCAGCTAACAGTACTCGATGAAGGTGTCGGCCTGTCTTGCACACGCATCTCAATTGATATGGCTTCGCATTCCCATCGATTGGTTCCCTCCTATACCTAACCTGAATATTAATCACCATATTATACCCCTTAACATGGGAGAGAGTACACAGACATCTGCGGTCAGAGACAACTAGCCATTTTCATTGGCCTTGCGTCGCATCCATTAAGAAGCATAGAGGTAACTGCTGCACAGTACATACGTCGTTTTATCGATAACCGGATATCACATCTACACCACAAACTATTTAAGTTGGCAGACAACGCATGGGCCTTGTGTCGCGATGCTGATATTTCTTCAGCAATCAGTTCATTGTGGCTGGTGGAACTTCCCAAATAAGTAGTGTTAAACATTACTCACTTGCTCCACTCCTTGCCTCAAACTAGGAGTTGGTGCTCACCAGTCCTGCGACATCATCTTGAATTTGTTAGGGGTATTCAGAAGACTACTTCGTCGGTATCTTTACCTAGAAAGACAGTATCATCTGCATACTCTGAGTTGACCCTTCCGTACCCTGATAACAAATTACTGAGTCACTAAAGTCAATCAAGATCACATCCATTAGTACATCTATGACAAAATTAAACGAAAATGAGGACAATAGGCATCGCTGACGGGCACCTGATTGTCAGCACTTGAGATGACAACTCTCTTTAGGCTGTTATACGACTGCTTAAGTTCGAGTAGAGTACCATGCTTGGCAAGACATACGTTGTTGGCACTATTCCCATTGTCAGACATTTTCACAGCATCTCAGTCTGTGGAGTCAAACGCCTGCAGGTCAAGAAATGTGGCAAGTGTTGGATGCCGGTAAGTATGCTCTTGTTCCAGAATCTGTCAAAGGGTGAAAACATCAATACATCCTCGTCCTGGCCCTAAGCCTATCCGAATTTTCCGGATTTGTTTCTCATGAGCAATGCTTAGTCTATGCATGGTTATTGGACCTAGGATTTTAGATTATTATGTTAGTCAAGCAAGGAAACTTATGACCTTTGTCATAAACTGGGATAACCAGTCGAATGAGACTAATTCATGAATAATTTCTATTCAGACATAAATGAGAACAAAACACGTGGTTCAGCAAGAGGTTCTTTTGAAATCAGTGGGACTAATTCAAGTCCCTACGCATGATCTGATACCTTATTTAACCCAGTCAATGGTTCATCACTTCCTTCCTTTGAATATTCTTGTGGGCATTCCATCAGGTCCCATTGCTTGTCTCCTTTTAGATAGCTTTTGTAATAGTTAAAGTTGGAGAGCCGATGTCTACATCCTATTCAGATAGGTGTTGGATGTTGGGCAAGCTTAGTTTGAACATAGGTCAGTTGGATTATCCCTCAAAGTGTTCCGTCTAACGTCCCAGTCGTCTATCCGG